GAAGCAGGAAAGTAGTGACATTTTTGGTTCCTGATCCAAAGGGGCTTCAGGGATGGGGTAAAAGGAAGAGCTGTCACCCAAGTCCTGACCAGGTTGGGTGGAGGGGGGACTGTTCTGGGCTTTCTGAACTTTGGAATGTGACCCATTAGGGTTGTGAAATAAATATAACGTGCACCTAATAGTAATCATGAAAAGACCAGAGAAAATCTCAGAGTCCTTCACACACTGTGAGGGGGAAGTTTAGTTCTGTGAATGAAGCTTTGCATTAGCATTTCTTATGCTTCCTTGTGTCTCTTGATGCTGGAAGTCTTAGAGACAGTTCTATGGATGGAGAAAGCTGTTGAAGAGACGAGGCATCTTATCACAACAGTCAGCATAACAGCTAAGCACTGAGCATGTGCTTAATGTTTTCCTGAATTTGAAACCCTGATTCTTACAAGTATCGCCTTTCTTATTTCATGCATGAAAAAAGTGAGGCCCAGTGAGATTAAGTTGTTTGCCCGATGTCTCAGTCTGTCTGCCTGGGCTGTCATAACAAAATGCTGTAGACTGGGTGGGTTAGACAACAGAACTTGATGTCAGTTTGAAGGCTGGAAGTTCAAGAACAGGGTCCCATTGATTGAGTTCCTGGTCCCTTCCTGGCTTGATGGCTGTGCCTTCTTGCCCTGTCCTCATTTAGTGTTTGCATTTGGAGCTCTGCTCCTTAAAGGGCCACCATCCCTATTGGATTAAGACCCTCCCATTATGACCTAAAAGCCTCATTTCCAAATATGGTCACATTGGGTATTAGGGCTTTAGCATATGGATTTGGAGAAGACCTAATCCAATTCTTTACGCTGAAAATCCCATGGCAAGTAAATAATGCAATCTGAATTTGATCCCGCACTAGAGCCTGGGACTTCCCAGCATGCTCTGCTGCCTTGATAATCCATGTGTGCCCCAAAGACAATTGGGGGGGGGGTAGTGCAAGACTCAGGGCTGGGGGTCACAGAACATAGTGACTCAGCACACTCAGGCTTAGGGTCAGGGAGAGCAGACTCCAGCTGTGGGACTTTGGAAAATTTGCTTGACACTCTATAAAATGGGACTCTAATACAGCTGTTCATAGTCTCAAAGGGGGGCTGGGAGTTTTGAATAGGGTGATGCAGGTGGAAAGGCAAGCACAGAGGAAGCCCACGACAGGAAGTTCCAGGAAAAGTGAGAACTCTGTTCCGTGATGTGAACTTAGAACTGTGCTTCACACTCAGTAGGTACTTATTACAAATTGTGGAATGAGTTTTTAAATGGTCATGATTATTACTGACCTGGTATTAGAATACCTAGGTATCACTTGCCTCCCTAGACAATGCCCTCCCACTAGGAGGGAGGGGTGGGTTATGGTAAGTTCTCAGGGACCTGGGTACTGTAAAGTTGTGCTTAGGCAGCAAGACAGGAGATGGGACACGTCTGTCTGCCCCTGTCTACTTCTGAGGACTGTGCAGCAGGTCTAAGGGAGCCTTGCCAGAACCTTCTAAAGACCACCACTCCCACAAGGGGAGTGAGACTCAGCTGACAAGCCCCTGGGAAACTGGTCCATGGCCAGCCAGGCCCCCAGGCAGGGCTATTTTTAACTCAAAACTGGGAGAGCTGTGTGGGGGTGGCTCCCCTCATTGGTAGCTGCTCTGGTGACATGCTTGCTGCCCATCTGCCCGTGCTGCCTCCCACATGTCTTTTTCTTTACCACCCCCAAAACAACACAAACACAGATGGACGCTGAGTCCACTCTGGCTTGGTGGGACCCCTGGGGGCGGTCACCATGTCTACTGCCCACTGCTTCCTCTGGGACCTCAGCACAATCAGGATGCGCAAGGCCCCAGTTGTTTCATAAATATTTTGGGTTGAGCATCCCACAATAGCCCTAGGTACCAAAGGACCAGCAGGCTCCTGACCACGCGGCCACTGCCTCCTCTCTTCTCAGTGTGTCTGGGGGAAGCTGTCTACACGGAGTCCCACTCTTTCCACCCTGACTCTCCACAAAACAGTTCCCACATTTGCTGCTCTCTGTTGCTAAGCCCCCTGGCCTTTCCTAGGCCTGAGGATGCTCCATGTTTCCTGAACCTTCCACACTGTTGGCTTTACCCAATCTCCACCTTCTCGGATCTGGGTTTTTCCTGGCTTCATGACCCCGTCTCTGGCTGTTCCTCTGCAGCTTCCATGGTGGACCCCCTTCTTCTGGCTGCTCAAGTCTGACTGCTCATCCCAATTTGCCTGGAGCTTTCCTGGTTTCAGCACTAACAGCCCCCTACCTCAGGAGCTCCCTCAGTTCAGGCTGACCTAGGATCTCTGGTTTCCTAGACTCAGCTCTGGGCCCTGGAGGGTCCCCAGGCCTCATTCTTCCTTCCCCTCCCTTCCTAGTCCCTGTCCACTCAGTTCTCATCTATTTTCATGGCTGCAATTGCTCTCCAGGTGGGGATGTCCCTAAGTCTATGGCATTGGCCTGGCTGGTTCCTGAGTTTTGGAGCCATGAACTAACTTCCCAGTGTGTGTCTCCACTTAGATGTCTCCTGGCAACACAAACCCACATGCCGACCTCTGACCTCGCCACCCCACCCCAAACTGCTTCTCTTTCTGGTCCCCTGCACAAATGCAGAGCCCCACCATCCATTGAGGAGCTACGTTCCCCAGAGCCCTCTTCTTTCTCAGCCCATCTGGTAATAGCTCGATCTTGTCAATTTTACCTTTCCAACCCCTTAACTCTCCCCAATATTTCTCTTCCCATCGTCACTCCCAGAGTACAGGTCACCACCATCTCGCGCCTTGACCCATGCAAAGTCAGGAGGAAGTGTTAACAGTATTGTTTCTGGGATGACAGGCAGCACGGACTGAATCATTCCCTGCACCCTGGAAGACCTACTGGAATTCTCACTGCCAGTTTCCTGTGAAGGGGATCTTATTGGGAAACAGGGTCTTGGCAGATGCAGTGAAGTCAAGATGAGGTCATTAGGGTGACCTGTATCCAATATGCCCCTCGTCCTCATAAGAAGAGGGAAATGTCACATGAAGACTGGCACGTGACTGCCAGCAGTGAGGACAGAGGTGGGACAGGGCAGCAGCTGTGATGCCAAGGAGGCCAAGCATTTCCAGCAGCTTCTGGAAGCAAGGAAAGGGTCTACCCAGCATCTCGGAGGGAGCATGGCCTTGCCGACACCTTGATTTTGGACTTCTAGTGTCCACAATTGTGAGAAAAAAATATTTCTGTTGTTTAATGCTACCCCATTTGCCGTAATTTGTGAGAGCAGCTCTAGGAAACCAAGACAGGGAGATGTGGGTAAGTTTTTTCATATTTTTCAATTTTTTAGGATTATCTATAGTGAGCACATAAAACTTGGATGATTAGTAAAAACATTCTTAAAAAGAAAAGCCTGCTCTGTAAGCATCTTAAACACCCGGCTGGATTTACCTTTAAGAACTGAAACCTTCTACACCCACATGGTTTACAGTCTCCAGCTCCACAGCTTTATTATCCCATCATCTTTATCACCACACCCTCACTGTTCCAGGAAACTCCTGCCCGGGGAGACAAAAGCTGCAAATAATTTTATTGTGTATTTCAGGAACTTTGCAAAACACATTTAAATAAACATTAGATTGTTCAGCTTTTGAATAGATAGCATCAAAAGACAACGGTCTGTTCTCCAAGACTCTTCAAGACTCTGGCCTGTCTGTGTCCATCCATCCTACAGTACTCTGTCATGATTCTTCCCAATCTTAATCAGGCTCTTGCAGGAAAGGGTCTGAAAGCTAAGACATGGTCCACCTTTGTGTGCATTTCTGAGATGCTCCTAAGACTCTGTCAAAGAGAGCTCTCTTACCCGGGGTAGCAAGAAACCTAGCTCTGGCTGGATGTGGAGGTGCATGCCTATAATTCCAGTGGCTTAGGAGGCTGAGGCAGGAGGATCCTGAGTTCAAAGCCAGCCTCAGCAACTTAGTGAGGCCCTAAGTAATTCAGTGAGACCCTGTCTCTAAA